GCCAGGTACCGCTGTATTCCAGGTGCGCGCCTGGCAGCTCGCTGTGCAGACAGCAGCGCTATGCAGAGGCGCATCCTTCCCGAGGGGCCTGGAAAAGAGACCCTCTCCCTTTTTAAGGGCAGCTCTGAATATTCCGCGCAGCGAGGGGCGGTGCTGCCGGTCCCCATGCGGAGGAACGTTGGCTCCTGTCACCCCGCGCCTCCGTGCTCGGTGCAGTCCGCATGGCGCTGCTGCCTGCGTTCCTCTGAAGGACAAACTACGAGGCGCAAAGCGAAGCTGCAGATCACAGCGCAAACCAAAGTCTACCTTTGGTCGCAGGGCCTTGTAATCTCCTTAAGGAAATAAGATGTAACAGATCTTTAACAGGAAGCTGTTAGCAAGAGCCATTTCACAAGGGCTTAAGCAACACGCGGTGCAACATTGGCCTTGCATAGTAAGGCGAAATTTGAATAGATTGTGACCCACATACCTTTTACAGGAGACTTAGAGCTGCTGGAAAGAATTGCAATTACCACTTTGTTTACCAAGTGCCTCATGTTTTTAGTATAAAATAAAAATTATTCCTTACTTGTAGGGACTTGATTTATTGGCCAATGTGATGCTAAATTCCACCCATTACTCTACAAAGGCCTGCAAATGATCTCAGTGAAAAGTACTCAGGTGGACTCGCATTTTTATACGTGTGCTTTTCTTCCCTGAATGTTAATGTTTTCAAAGATGCTACTCGTATTTTTGAAGATATTATTCTCCTTTCGGTTGGGCTGTTGGAAACACAAAGAAGGAAGACCACATTTGGGCTGCTTCACGCCAAGAACCCCTTGCCGGCTCCCACCCTACGTCCTCCGAAGCGAGCTGCGAGGCGAGGGAGCCTTCCCAAGGAGCTGCCAGCAAGAAGAGGCCTTTTGCCGCTGACATTAGTGAAGGCAGAACACGAGGAACTGGAGAAGAGATGGTGGGAGCTTTCATGGCGCGCTGGTTATTGCCGGAGTGCCGCTTTGCGCAGGACTCCCGGAGCGCTGCGGTGCCGGCTCCAGGCCGCCCCTGCAGGGCTGCGGAGCGCCGGGAGGCTGCGGCCCTG